AATATTTATGTATAATTAAAATATTATTGTAATTATATTTTAAAATAGTTTTAAACGAATTTTTTTGCTTTAAATTAGTTTTAAATTTAATTTTATATATTAGCAGAATTTATTAGTTGTACTGATTTTTTTATTTCATATATGTTAAATTATATTTAAATTATAAGTTCTAAACTATACGTAAAATAAAAAATATATATAAATATAAAATAAAAATGCAAAAATATTTGCAAATATAAAATAAAATTCACTGTTATAAACAAAAACAAAAAAAATTAGTAATCAAATTTGTAGCTTTATGTAGTGGTTTTTTGTGAATTTTCATGCTTACATAAAAAATAAAAATATTTAAAATCTATTACACATACATATTTAAACATTGTGAAATATACGTTTAGCATAATTTTAGTTATAAAAGAATTATGGAGTACTTTTAAGCGAATATGTAACTCATAATTAATATGTGTATTATCTTTTTGCTACATTGAAAAATATGGGGAAACAAAAAATTTTGAAAAGTATATAAATGTAAAAATAAACTCAGATTCTTAAAAAAAAATACAGGTTTTTATTTACTAATATTAAAGTATGAAATAGAGGTACATGTTTTTTAAAAATATTTCGAATATTAATGTAAAAAATTGTGTACCAGAATATACTATCTTTTAAGACAGGTTAGTAAAAATGGGATCCAAATCCAAATCAATATAAATTCATTGCTTCAAATGCATTGTTCTTAATAAATGGTCGTGATTTTTCACAGCCATTAATAAGCAGACCCAATAAGTAAAATAAAATTATTAAGAAAATGTGAAATGTGAAATGCATACAATATCATAATAAAATATTAAAAAGCGCATTTGAATTTGAAAATGTAAACAAAACATTTCTATTTAGTTGATGAACCAGAAGAAACAACGATATTAAAATAATATGTTCTTCACACCTATAGGGCGAAGAAAAGAGGTTACATTTTCCAATCCTCCATCTCTGGCTATATCCATATATGCAGTAATAAATACTAGTAACTGACAAAGCTCTAAACAGGGATGAAAACATTTAATAACAAATTTAAAAATAAAGAATAATGATACATATATCACATAAACAATTACCTCAAACTGAACAAATTGGGATTTTATAGCGTCAAAAATAATGAACACAAATAAGAATGTATTACAAAAGATATTTTTGAAACGTCTTAAACATTTCCAAAAAATTTGAACGCACAGAAACGATTCTCACTTTCGCCTTAATTTTCGGCATGCTGCTTTATTACTTAGAGTAATACGATTTCCAATAACTTTTATTTTAACTGATGATTACATGAGATTACATTTTTTTTAAATCAAGCGAAGTTATTCTTTTTTATCTAAGAACCGAAAAAATTCGTCAGGAAATTTGAGTTCTCATTCTAAATCATACGGATTGGAAAAATGATACTTCATTTTTAGAACCAAAACTGATCTTGTACTATAACTGACAGTTCGCATGCTAAGCAAAGAGTTGGCACAGAGGTCTTTCGGAGTTGGTGCACCAGATAAACAACAATCAATGCGTTGTCTTCGTAGAATTTCTCTTCAAGTATCTTGATGGATTACTTATACATGCTACAGCAACTGACAGTCCTTTGTTCGATGCCTACCCGTACAGGAATCAATCGTAATGACACCGCGGGATCATCAGGCAAGGACTGGAGAATCAAATACTTAATTTTATGGGTTGGAGTCTCACTGTGAATTGGCTCGGCATTTCGACATGGTAGAAAGATGTTTTTCATTTATAACTACGGTAATGTATCATTTCTCCGTAGAACTGAGGTTAATGGTAGGCTATCTTACGGGTCATCATGTTGACTATGCTTAGGCCTCTAGTCACATTATATCTGACTCTTTATATTTGGTCTTAACTAGAAGTAGACTTGCAGGTTGAAAATTCCTATTCCCATCTGACATTAGAAAATCCATGGCAGTAATGCTTAGTATATTCTATACACTTAAAGTGCTGGCAGCACAAAACATCTGCCATGTTTTCAAAATTTAAAAATTGTAATAACAATTTTATGCTGTATCTAATTCAATAGACTTGGATTAATACTTAGTCTGTCATTATTTCCTACTGTTATCCTTATCTCATATATTACTTCTACTATTCCATATTGCTATTTTTTCAATATATTGTATGTTAATTGTATTAATATATATTGTGTGTATTACAAGCAAAAAAATATTAAACAACAACAACAAAAGCGTTCTCTTGTGCATTTAAGCTTTATAATTCGATTTATTTAATGCTAGCGCAAACTTTCATTAGTATATTTTTTAAATTTATTATTTCTGATAATTTCGAAAAATATATAATCTTATGCAACAGATAAAAAGAAAGAAGTATGTTTGGATTGGACACACACTGCCTAAGTCTTATGAAGATATCGCGCATGCTGCACTTACCTGGAACCCCAGGGGACTAGGCGCAAAGGCAGACCAGCAATAATCTGGAGAAGGACAGTTTAACAGAAGAGAGACAAAACGTTTAATGAGTTGAGAGCAGAGCAATAGCACAAAATAGAATCCAGTGGAAAACTTTTGTGTAGAAATAATAATAATGCAATAGACTTAATTATAATTTACAAACAGTGTTTTTATTTTTAACACATTAGCCTTCAAATTCCAATTATAAAATATAATGGTAATGTTGGACAAGGTACAACACAATTTTATTTAAGTCAGTACCAATAATGATAGGAAAGGAAGGAAAGAAAGACGAATATGATCTAATAATTTAAACGCATATATTCCATTTTAATATATCATTTTTATTTTATTTTATTTTTTAAACTTCTAAAATATTATATGTTTTTAATAAGGTTTTCTATGTTATAAATTTTTTATTACATATATTTTTGTTTTAAGTTTATTTTACTTTTCTTAAAAAGATACAAAATTTTTGAAAATTGCTTGTATAATTTGTATAAATTTATTTATTAATTTTTTTTTTAATATTGCATACGATTATGAGTTTTCTATTATATAAAAAAAACTATAATAATTGAAATTGTTTGATGAATAATGTTTATAACAGGAAAACATTTTAAAGTGAAATATTTTAAACTATTTCAATATTAAAAGATATGTTTTAAATTATGTTAAATTTATTGAGCAATACGAAATATGCTTTTCATTACAAAAAAAATTTAATTAAACTTCACTGAAGTTATTTTTACTGATAAAAATAAACGTTATGATTATTAATTCTTTAAACATACAAATACTGTAAACATTTAATAAAATAAAATACAAATAAATGCATTTAACAAAGATTGTAAGTGAAATTAGTGTTAAAAAATTTTAAAAGCTGGTATTTATTTAATAATATTGATTTATATTTATAAAATATTATATTGAAAAGAAAAAATATTTTCTTATAATATCTAAAATATCGGATTGGTAGAAAAACAATTTCAATTACTAATTTTGCACATAAACATCAAATTTATTTTATCCCAACAAAAATATTTAATGCATTTTGTACAGTGCACTAATAAAGCGCATCGCTCTCTTTGCCAATCTGTGTTTTTTTATAGCACTTTGGAGGTCTATATGCTAGAAATACCAAGCGCTTCTAATACGCTTTGTAAATGATTATTTAAAGCGCATTTAAAACGCTTCGTGTATAGCGAGGTCGAAGCGCATACTTTTCCAATGACATGGCAATGTAAAAAGTTGCATTATCTGCAAGGAGAGGGATGCGCTTCACAACTTCTTCAAAGCGCATATTTGAGTTGTGCTCACTGTTGGGATGTTATATTATGCGCGATCATAACGTTTTATAATGTGCTGGCACTAATTTGAAAATATTTGCATGAAAATTTACTTGGTATTATAAAATAAAGTCGGGTTGGTTTTATTTTGACTAGGATATTATTATATATATACGTATATATATTTCTTTTATTATAAGTTTTACTACTTAATTATTTTTTTCTTTAAAATATGTTATAAAAAAAATTTACTTAAAATTCGAAACAGAAGCTGAGAACAGTGTAATGGTGAAAGATAAAAACAGAGCGCATACTTTAAACAAACATTCTTATTTAATTTATATATATTATAAATTTTTACAATAAGTGATTACAGTGACAAACATTTTAAAAGCGGTATACTAAACACAACTTTTAAATAAATTTAAAACTGATTTAATTTAGAAAAATATTGTTATCAGTCTTTCAGAACGAAACACAAATTATGAAAGATAATAAATAGCACTCTGTCTTTACATATTATAATAATATCAATAGTTTAATGCATAAAATATAGTTAAAACAATAGCTTTAGCAAATGTTTACAAAGTGGGTATATGTATATAGATAAATATATGATAGCTGAAAGGTGACTGTAAAGCATACAAGTAATTAATTGTATAGAAAATACATATATTATTTTTGCAAGCTATAACTTATCGTATAACAGTTTTGATTACTTGTATATTTTTTTTTCTTGAAAATTATAAAATAAATAGTATATTTCATAATAATAATTAATATTTATAAATTTTTTTTTCGCATTTCTTTTTTTGGATACATTTTAGCAATAGCGCCATGCGTACCACCAAGTTTCATGGACTTTTCTTTATAACAAAAATTATACTAATTAAATAAAAGAAAACATTATGGCATTTTACGCTCTGTTTCAAATATTTTTTGACTTGAATATTTTGGGTTCAATTAAATAAAAAACAACATACAAATTTTTCTTATAAACTACATGAAAACGATACAAAATTTGTAAATTTTAGCAAAGGTTTTTAATATTTCGTATTTTTAAATACCTTAAAAGCTAATGTAAAAAATTGTATTCATATACATATACATATGCATTTTATATATTACCAATTTTTATCTGCATATTAAAGTTTATCAGCTTAAGTAAACAAAATTTATATTGGTTACTTTATATATATATATTTAGATATATATATATATGTTTATAAGGAAATTCTATTTATTTTTCTTTATTTGTAAGCGCGTAAAAAGTTTACTTTATTCAAATTTATGATTTTTTTTATGTGTTTTAAGGATGTCGTTGTCGCAGGTATTAATTGGTGTTGTCCTGAATATTCAGCGGAAGCTAATAGTCTGTTATTTTTTAAAGTTATTGTTCTTTTAACCTGGCAACTATTTTGGAATTGCTATGGTTTTAACTTATCATTTCACGGTATTTTAATTTATGTTTTGTTAACATGTCAGTTACAGTGACGAGTTTTTTAATCGATAGTATATTTGATAAATCTTGCAATTCAGGCAGATAAGAAACGCAAATGTGATGTAAAGTAGCCAGTTCGCGACCTGTAACAAATGCATTGTATTAATTTATTCGAGATTAAAATAACTTATATGAAAACGAGAATATTTATATAATCTCAAACACAAAATAAAAAAAATAAAACAAAAATTGTATAAGAATTGACTTCGATTTGCTCTATTTACAATGACGTCGATAAGGTTTTAAAATTCAGTACATCAATCTATCTGTATATACGCGAAAATATGGATTAAATATATAAAAAAGATTTTATATATTTAGGTGTTTTTAAAACAGATGAAAAGTATCTGAAGTTCTTGTAGATAATTACTAGATGGTACATAAATGATAGACTATGAGTTGGAGCCAATATTGATATTGCAACCAAAGCCGACTTGAAAAGTAAACACATACAAGGATGGCAAATCACTGCACAATAGGATGTAATGAAAGGAAGTTCCAAGATCGGCGAAAAAAGATTCAATATAGGTATAAATTATATAAGTTATATGAAATAAAATTTCAGTGTGAAGCAATTAACTTACGCGACATCCATGCGTAGATGGTTGAATTTGAAACGCAACGCAATATTACGATTAAATATAAAATTGTCTCTATTTAGTATATAAATATTACTGAAGTAATTTAACAACCAGGTTTATGTCCTGATAAAAAATAAAAAAATTTTGTTTTGAGTCAATAAATGACGATAAATACAGACATAAGGGGATTCTTAAATTAAATAATGAACTATTAATTATCAAATTCTTTTTGTACAAAGACAAAATTATGATAATGAAATTTTATATAAATTCAAATTTAACTTTAAATTAAAGCACAAATAAAAATAGCGTACTAGAAAAAGTGCAATAATAAAAAATATGAAGAAAAATATATAGGAAAATTAACTTGATGAATTCATTAACAACTTAATTAACGTTTAGAAATTAAGATAACTCTTCTGACAAAACAGATTAAATGAAATACCAAAATAAAGTGGTGATTTTTTTTCAAATTCTTATCGACACTATTGGAAATACAGAATATAATAACACATTATCAATAAAAATATACTCTATGTACCTGTATCCTGATTATGATGACTATTATTTTGTTCAACAAACATGCCAGGTGGTGGATTTGGATCTGTGACAAGTGATAATTGATCAAGGAAGACAATCATACGTTCTTTATTTTTTAATATGAATGGGTTTACAACTTCCATATATTGTTCCTAAAAAATATATGTTTTTATTTAAATACACTTAAAAATATATTAAAATTACCTTTGCACCAAATTCAATAAGGTTAGCTAAATTTTGTAAACATTTTGCAACCATAATTAGAGATCGGGTAGCTGCAGTGGGCGGTGTTTCACTCACCAAGCCAAATTGTCTTGGATTCAAAAGTGCAGGACACAACAAACGCAAAAATATGAAACCAGACACCACACGTGTGCGTACTAAACGCTCCGTCGGCCATTTTGAAACAACAGCCTTCTGCAAACAGTTACATATGTAACGAACACTACGCGGACAAGCCTCTGGTGAGGTGAATATTGAATGCGTTACAAGATCAAGTATTTGTAAAAGGAACTCTGCATTTGAACAGGCATCATCATTTACATCCATTTTGGTGGGATTCAATTCCGCAGATTGCTTGCTCTCAAGTATGCGTTGCACAGTTTCAGATACAGCAGACTGTAAAAAACCTGTACATTCAGTACGCATATACAAATCCATTAGCGTGGTGGCTAGGGAAGCACCACGAAACAGTGTTGTTGTCTCATTTTCACGTGCAATTTCAGCTTGGCAAAGTACTCTTATCAGTTCTGTTTCGCGTTTCTCATGACGAAAAACACGTAACAATGCTGTAGCTAATGGCACACGATCATTATGACAAAGTTCTGCAAGCGCTTTTACTGAATATAATTCAGGTTCAAGTAGTAATTGTTGCAGTGGACTGTATTCTTCGCAGGGCATAATTAAATCATCAAGATAACGCATACGCAAACGTAATGAACCCCATTCACCCATTGGTGTCATGCCTGTGAGTTGATACCATTCTTCGGTTTCTAAACCATTCTTCAGACAGGCGAGATCGATAGTCAGTTCAGCCACTTCTGAGTCCTTACCACGTTTGCCACGTGAAATTAGTGTAATAGTTAATGAAACTACATCTGGTGGCACATCACTAAAAAATAAAACAAAAAAAAAAAAAACTATTGCTTGTAAAATGAACAAAAAATTCTTTAACTTACTCTAGCACAAATTCTTCCTCCCAAACTGGATCAGGTGCTATCTTAACTCGTGTCTTTCCAACTTTTACTTGATTCAACGAAATACTACAATAAGGATGTGGCACTAATTTAAATGGCAAACGATGTGCCTCTAATACATGTAAGTTAAGACAACGTAATTCACGCAAGCGTGGCACTTTCTTCTGTGCACGACTTAACTGTGAACCACATTGTGCTTTCAGTGCATTTATCCATTCTACATAACTCTCTTGACTAGGTGCACAAAGATAAGTGGCAGTGGCCAAGCAAGGCAATGCACGCTCTACTATTTGAAAACAATATGGTCGTTCCCAAAGTGAATCATGGCACTGATATACATAAGCACAAGAAAGGTCAATGAGACCTTTCGGTTTAGTCTTTTTTGGATTGTCATAGAAACATAAATGTGTTTCAGAACCCTCGCTGATAAGTGCAAAATAAAGTTGCTTCCATTTTGCTGTTTTATCTGATTTTTTATTGAGATGTCCATGGTGTTTGATGCCTTTGATTTTTTTTAAACCAATTTGATCTCGACATTCACGCAAAGTTGCATAAATTTTCTCTGCTGCTTTTTCAACAACAAATTGTTGATTGAATTCTGGTTGAGAGCCATTAACAACCTGAATATGCATGCGTGATAAGTCAAAAGTTTATTATTACGTTAAAAGTAACTGAAAGTTATTATACTAACCGGATGACTTAAAGAATGTCCTTCTACGATCTGCTCTTTGCGATACCGATTTATAACTGCATCCAAACATTCAAAAGTGCGTCCACCCATTAAGTAACGCACTCCTTTCTTCTCAATGCGAAAACGTTGAATCTGATTATTTATGTGAAAGAAAAGTGAATAATCACCAGGTGAATTGTCACTAGGACGCACCAGAAAACTGCCAGGACCAGCTACAAAAAATAAAAACAATTTAAATTTAATTTAAAAAAATTAAAAAGTTAATGAAACGATATTAGAAATAAGGGAGACACTCACCCTTTACCAACATATCAACAGCTTCATTTTTGGTACAATTTGGATGAAACCATGGAAATACTGTGTTAGGATCAATTGAAACATCTAAGTCATCTACCAATTCACGGAAAATCATCCCCTGTTCACCGGTACGATGTGCCGTTACCCAAAGCCAACCATCGCCCATGTCATTGTGCACGAAAAATATGTCGCCTTTCTGGAAGCTCAGTTCATCTGTATCTGGCATCTTAGTGTATGGTAGTATGGCGACAACGCGTTTCTTGTCATTGACTGGCTCTGGCGGTGCAACTGGCGTGACAAGTCGCTCACGTTTTAACAAATCACTACATGAGGTGTAATAGCCGACCAGATCACTCAATGAAATGAATTGTCTGCCACCAATGTAAAAGTCACCACAAACTGCAGTGATGCTATTGAAACACAATAAACATAACGATAACATTTATTTGAAAATATTTCACAACATGTGTAATTGTAAGTGTGACTCACCGAAAGTGATTAATGCCTGTACGGCCCAAATAACTGAGCACATATGAACCAGGTTTACGATCGCTTTCGCGTACTAAGATTTACGTAGTTGCATTAGAGAAAAATAATAGAGAAAATAAATAATACTTAAATACATACCCAAATAACTGCCCAGTTTTCCATTGCCTTGCAGACGAGACTCTGCTGAATAACGATCTAATCTTCCGTGATACCATTCGCTCTCAGGTGGCGCTATTATGGCAGGTCGATCGCCTGTAAAAATTCCCAGAAATTTTGAAAACAACCATGAGAAATTTGTCTGCCACGAACAAAAGTAAATAAATATAATAAGCAATAGTAGCGCGGCGGCACCAAATGTTGAAAGAACAACAATCAAATTTGTTGCGAAAATTGATGTCATAATTCGTTAAAAATCGTTTCAGATATTGCAATTTCTATGCAAATTCCATTTAGCTAGAATCTCAGTTGGAATTCCAATTTGTCAAAATGATGACGACACAACAAACAGCAAAGATATTTTTTGCAAACAACAACGACGACGGCCAACTGGCACATGTATTGTCATCAGAAATTATAAAATATTTAAAAGGTAAACAAAAATTAAAACGAAAACTTTGTTACATCACTCTTGGCCAAAAATTGCAAAGGCACTAAAGCCACAGCTACAGCCACAGTCACAGTCACAGCCAAAAGCCGCAAACTGAAACACCAAACACCAAATGCCATACACCGAACACCGAACACTAAACACACAAGTAAAAAGTATCTAAGTATCTAATGAGTGCGATAATTTTGTTTTTATTGATATTGGATTTTTGTTGTTTTTAGCTATGAAAATGAATCAGCCATAAAACCAGCTCAAATCGATTGGCTTGAGGAAATAAGTTTTACGTTTAACGGAAAAATAAAGTATAAAGTTGGCTTATATGGCTGCGGATTTGGGTCAAATTCCAAAAAAAAAAAAATGTTTCTTTTTATAAGTAAAATAGTAAAATATTTTGTTTAGTATGCAAATATAAATAAATTTTAAAAGAATTTGCTTCAAATTATTTATTGTTCTAAATTGTTTATTTTTAATTATTTTTTATCTTATCAGTTCTAGTTGAATCAGAGCAAAAAATGCTTTAACGTTTCTTTAAAGGCTACGATTATATATATGTCTGTACATATACATAGTGAAGTTATAAAGCACTACTGATTACAGATATTTGCAAGTATTAATGAAATTTAATTGATCATTAAAGCTTTTATATTTAAACTATATTATTATTAATTATATTTTTTAATAATTATTAATATTAATTTATTTTCATTTTTTTTCTTCATTTTGTTATAGATATTAACGACTAATATAATTTGATAGTGTTGTGGTTGCGTTAGTCTCTTTAAAAAGGCTGTTTTAGTACTTTGAAGTTTTAATTTTTGATTTAATTTATAGCATATAGTTTAGTTTAATATAAAATTATTGTCGATGTTTTGTAGTTTATTTTGACTTCTTCATTAAAGCGGAGTATAGCGGAGAAGCACAAAATTGTTACTATTTAGAGTACAAAAACTTAAAAACGATAACATATAGAATTTTTATTCATTCACGAGAAAGAGCACTGGTATTTTGACCTTAGCCTTTAAAATATTCCAATACAGAGAAAACGGAGAAGTTTGCAGTTATACTACAGAAACTTGATGATGCATCGACTCTCTATCACTAAAACATTCGGTTACCCATTAAACACATTATCATTCATATTAACGGTTCAAAAATATCAATGGAGGACAAGAATTAACCGTTAGTGTCATTCTTTGAAGCTTTTCATATGTACGGCAATTGGTCACTATAGAACAATTCTGACAGATAGTTCACTGGATTGAGATTAGTTTTTTTTAATATCAGTGCAATATTATTTTAAGAAGTTTAAGTTGACCCAAAAAAGTGATTTGGGTCTTTTTTGTATATTTGCTTTTAATATATCCCACTGAGCAGCGATTTGTAAGAAGGATTTATTTTAATTAAAGCCATAACCATCCAAACCAATGCTACGACAGAACCAGTTTTTTTATCTAACCTCAACCCGTTAGAGAAAACTTGTAGTTTCTTTAATCCTTGCTTTGTTTCGATGCACGGTATGTTTTTTCCCACTAAGGTGTTCGAAGGTTCAAACTTCTCGCTTAATACTAATTTTCCACTTAAATATAGTACTATTATAGTATTCTTAAATAATTAAATAGTTCCAGAAAAATTTTTTTAAAAAGCTAAAATTTAAATGTCTTCTAACGTTTGTAGATAATAAAATCACTTATTACTATGGTTGGAAATATGGGAAAGAATTTGATAAAAAAAATGTGATCTGTCTGTTTGGTGGGGATTGAAAAAATCGTTTTATTTGAGTTTTTTCCGGACAATAATTAAAAAAACCAAACCAAAAAAATCTGACTATTTAGTCCATCACCCATCTATAATAAAAATTAAAAAACAGTCAGAATATATAAAATGGAAATAATATGTTTAATTCTAGAGTTTATTGTCATTAATTAAATGTATTTAGTTATTCATTCAACTAAAAATGGATGGAAATAATAAATAAACAAGTGTTCTATATATGATTTATACCAGGTTTTTGCATATGATATAACATCATAACTGCTTAAGAGAGTATAACTATACAACTTATACGCATACAACAATTTCAATAAAATCATTAATAAGCGACTTGTAAATCCACATGGATAAAGTTTTATATATATTTTTTATACCAATTTTATACCATAATTATATTTTGTTCTCTTAATAAAAAAATGTCCTTCTACTATACTTTTCTTTTTAGTTATAAATGCATAATTATTTAACAAAGTACGAATGCTAATCAATATGCATATTATTTAAATGGATGAATATTCTTCTTATTCATGCTAAATCCTACGTACATGTATATCAATCACAGTACAACTCCAGAGTAGAGTGGATCTCATTGCGATCATCTCACTAAATTAAATAATAAAGCCCATGAGCATTATAAATTCATGTTGATAAAATTTTATATACATTTCTTTATTTATACTATAGGTGCACTATTTCCCACAGGTTAGAACGTAAGATGATGTGAGACCTAATACAAGTTTAGTAAGTGGGGAAAGTTTTTCCAGCTTGAATTAAATGTATTACTATATGAAACATATTTTACAGGAATAACATTTTCGGATTATCACTTGTTCCGATTTAAGATAGCAAAACCTTTACTTCAAATAAAAATGCCAGAAGTTATATGACGTCAGGTGAGAAGTTAACGACTAATTTAAATATATATTATAAATATAAATGCAAACCTAATATATTATTGCATTTTTTAATTTTAAGAAAAAAATAAATTTTTCTGAATGTTTTAAAATTCGTTTGTTTTAAATTTTTGATAATATTTTTTTTAAATATTTTTATTTTAAATTTATTTTTTCTTTAAATTTTTTTTTTCAATTTATTTTTTTTAATTTATTTTTTAATTTTTTTATCAATTTTTTTTTTTAATTTAAGTTTTGGTTTATTTTTTAATTTTTTTTATAATACTATATAAATAATATAATAATAATATATATATAAATTTTTTATAATATAAAATTAATTTCTGTTGTCGTAGTTCATACTGTTCGAAAAACCTCTACATTTTTTTAATTTTTTTGTAAGTTTTTTTAAATTTTTTGTTAAATTTATTTTTTTTTTGTTTAGTTTTAAATATTAAATGCTACTTTATTTGTTGTTTTATTGAGCATTCTGATTTTTGAAAATTTTCGTAGAATCCAGGTATGTAATTGATTGATTTTAAGTTTTAAATTTTTTTTCAAATTGTTATATTAATTTTTTGTTTTAAATTATTGTTTTAATTTTTATATAATATACCGTTTAATGCGAGTACTTATTAAGAGTGTGATTTTCTACATTAGAACCACAGTTGCACTGCATTATGCATTGCACTAAAGTTAATCCAATTTGAATTCACTGCACAGTAATAAAAACGTCTAAAAAAATATATACATAATTATTTTTTATTTTTATAATTTATTTGAAAATTCACATCATAGGCTATTATAGTTTTTATTGTTTTTTAAAATTAAATAAAATATTATTATTTTTTATTTATTAAGAAATGTGAATATTGGTTTTATTTTTTCTCAAATATTTTTATTATCGATCAAATGAGCTGCAGTTCACATGGTTTCGTATAAATAATTTTGTGAAAAATTATAATTTTTTTATGTGAAATAAATCTCAATTTAATTTTTTTATAATAAAGATACATTCCAATTCAAATTTTTGTACAAGTCACTTTTTAGTCATTTCAAATAATTATAATTAAGTTAGTTTAAAATAAAAAAAAAATCATAGTGCACTCACTGAAAAATTTGTGAATTTTCATGGCGTTTTCTTTAATTGCATTCAAGTCGTTATCATTCATGCCACCGCCAATGGAATTCACTTGAGAAACGCGAAACAACGACATTGCAGTCAGCACACAACAACACTACAGCACAACGGTACAACAACGTCGCTTGATATTCCTCGACGACCAAAAAACACTTTCCTTTTCAATTAAATTAACTTGCAATCTAATTTGAAGTAAATTTGCGCATAGACTACGAAGAAAACAAGCACAACAACAACAACAACGATAGCGACGACTGTAACAAATTTAACATCGTTAAAAATACAAACAACAACAACAATACCAAAAACACGGCAATGCACACGACGTTAAGGGTAAAAATTTACTTGCAAGCGATCTAATTTCATTTATTTCAACTATAAAATAATTTTAATTTAATATTTTCTTAAGTAAATTTTAAACTGAAGCAAACTGAAGCAAACAGAAGCACTGCAAAGTTAAAAATAAAATAAAACTCATGAAATTGAATGACTACAACGGCAAGTCAACAATAGCAACAGCAACAACAACAACAGCGACAACAACAGCGACAGCGACATTGGCAGCAATAGCGAAGCTTGAAGCTCGACTCAGTTCTTATAATTTTTTATTCAAGTGAGAGCACTAGAGAGTAAAGAGTGAAATTTGAAATGAGGAAAAAAATTGATTTTACTTAGAACACAAACACATATTAGCGATAAGTAAGAACAAGCAATATATACGTGAGAGCTTTTATAAAAGCAAGGAAATGAAACGACATAAGACCAGACCAGACGAGGCATAGTCTCGTGTCTATGCTTAAATACAACAACAACAAAGTAATAACACAACAATAATGATATC